ATTATTCAAAATTTATAAACATTAATTTTTTGAGAATGAGTAAATAAATAATATGTAATTTTATTTTATTTTATGAAAAGACAATGATGCATTCAAAATTGTTTTCTTCTGATTTAAATATATTGAAAAAATATTTTTTTAAAATAAATGAAATAGCAGAAAAACAAGTAAAGAGAAAAAAAAAAAAAAAAAAAGTTGTGTTCTTCCTTTTTATGTTGCTTATAAAACGTTACTAACAGTTAGCATACACGATGCAGTGCTAATCATTTTCAGGTCCTTCCTTGAACTACAAAGTATTCGGTCACATTAATTTATTTTGATGATCAAGATCGATTCTTTAGATTAGATTCAAGATCGATTCTTTAGATAGATGAGGAACATTTGATTAGAATGTGTGTAATCTTTATTGTGTAAGAAATGGTTCTTAAGATTAATTACTTTTTCATAAATAGATTCCCTATTTTTTATTTAATAAAGTGATTAGTTTGAACAGCCAAATAATTAACTGTAGGAAATTCTATGTTTAAAATTTTTAAGCGGAAATTAGATATAGAAATCGAGCCATCAACTGAACAAATTACGCTAGATTTTAAATTATGCGTTTTCAATATTCCCTTCATCCAATCAATTTGAGACTTAGAATATTTCTTTGATTTATAGCAGTTGTCTCGTGCTGAGCAATTAAACTTTTCTTGAAAATTTGCCAGATGAGTAGACAGTCGTCAAAGTCATTAAGTTGGCGATATGTTTAATCATTCACTTTGTCAAGTGCAGTTTTGGCGTATTTTAGTAGAAGAACATTTTACCCAGCAAGCAAGTATATTTAACAAACAACAAATAATTAAAAAGGCTGGAATTATTTACATGTTTAAGATACATTTTCATGACCATAACTTTATAATTTAAATATAATAATAATATATTTAGGATATTTTAATAAGACGATAGATAACAGAGAAGAACGTTAGCTATGAAAATAAGAATAATTTTAATAAAAGTCACTATTAATTAATTAGTAGTTCCAGTTTTTAAAAAAATAAATAACATTGAACTACTGCATAAAAAATGTAAGATGAGTACACTGCGTAAAAAAAATAGAAGGACAGTGTTTTATTGCCAATTAATATCTCTTATTTTCTCCTAACTACCAGATATTTATGCAGATTTAGTTTAATGACCCTTTTTTTTCATTTTAGGCAAAAATTAAACATCTGCCACTAATATTAATAATAAAATTAGTATATATAATTTCCGATGCGTAAAAAAAGTAGAAGGACACTTGCTAATATATTTAATTTAGTGAGTTGTTCTTTAGTTAAATAATGATTTTGTACTTTGTTTTATCCTTTTCTGTCAAAAAAATCTAATTTGTTGAAAAATTACGCTGTTTTTCCGTTCTCAGAAATGCCTAAAGGAATACCTTTGAACGATTTTCAAAAAGGCTAAATTTCCGAATATCAAAATGATGGTAAAGGTGTCAGAGAGATTTCTCGATTGTTGCAGGCGAGCCCCAATACAGTTTCAAACTTTATCAGAAATCCTTATAAAAATGGAAAGAAAAAGAAGACTGATAGACCGAAAAAGTTAACACCACGTGATGAAAGAAAACTTTTTTCGTGTGCTTAAGAAGAACAAAGGAAGTGTTTCAAAGGCAAGAAATCAAGCAGGACTTAATCATGTGACGAAACAAACAGTTTACAACTATATTAAAAGATCTAAAAAATTCATTTTCAAAAAACGGAAGCATCATCCTAAGTGGACACAAGCTGACATTGATAACCGTTTAGCGTGGGCTAAGGAGCGCATGTCCTGGACTACAGAATGGACTTCTGTGATATTTTCCGATGAAAAGAAATTTAACTTAGACGGTCCAGACGGATATCAGCACTACTGGCATTGTCTGGGGAATGAAGACGAATACTATTCAACACGACAAATGAGAGGAGGGAGTTTAATGTTTGGTTGGCTGTTGGATACGGAGGAAGGACAAGTCTGTTTTTCTTAAATGGTAGGCAAGAACATACAGACTAAATTCAAGTGCTGAATTCCGAGCTTCTTCCTTATGGCTCTGACTTGGGCGGTGAAGAGTGGAAGTTTCAGCAAGACGGAGCTTCCATTCACACCGCGACTGGAGTCAAAAATTGGTTCCTAACAAATAATGTGGATGCTTTACCATGGTCAGCCAAAAGTCCTGACCTTAATATAGTGGAAAACATCTGGGCAATGCTAGTTCGTCGAGTTTATGCTGATGGAAGGCAATTTGATTCGCTAACTCAGCTTTGAGAAGGATTGAATGACTCGTGGGACAATTTTTGTCAAACAGAAGTTCAATCTCTATACAATTCACTTCCAAACAGAATATTGGAAGTTATAAAGGCCAATGGGAAGAACATTCCTTATTAAAATCACTATTTTTTCATTCATTATAATGCTGTCCTTCTACTTTTTTTACAAAGTTTCAAGAAAGAGAAACTATTTTTGTTGCCATTCATATTTTATGTTTGAATATCATAATTCTGATGTTAAAATTGTATTTTTTAAATATTTGTAAAATGTTTCTAATAAAAAATTTTAGTAAAAATAAAATATTTTTCGGTTATTGTTACAAAATCAAGTGTCCTTCTACTTTTTTTACGTAGTGTACGTAACATTAAAGTGCTAATTGCGGCTGGTTTTGAAATGCTATGCATGGTTTGAAAGAGAAATAAAAGATGTATGGTAGCTCAGTTCTGTTAGATAGCTGCAGAAATAGAAATCAGTTTCATTCACTTCTGGGGATTGAAGAGGTTAGCCAGTACACAAATGGGGACTGATAATACTGCCCTCAAAATATAGCTGTTGATAAAAAAATTTTTTAACGAACCATCATCATCATCATCTGTGATTCAGCGACACCATCGGGGGCAAGGCAGTTTGCCTACTGGCAGATTTCGAAACAGGAGATATTTTTTTTACAGCGTAGGGTTGTCAGTACGCCCAATAGTCATATTAGACAGGGACCAACGAATTCCAAACCACTACAAACATCTCTGCCATCGCCGGGACTCGAACCCGAAACCTGCGGCACCAAGAGCCAGAGCGTTATTCACTCCCCATCAGGCCCCTTTTATGGGACCAGCTAGATATATGTCTTTCTGCATGAGCACTGTTGGTGCAAAACACTTGCCTGCTTGCAGAACCAGATGGAGGAATTTTCCGAATGAAGATGCCTACCGCTGCTTACTGCCGTGTGCCACATTCGAAGCAAGATGGCCCATGAATGGTGTAAAACAGCAATGCACCTTGATCTTGCGGGAGGAGAATTCAGTGAAATTTGCACAGACAAATGAGGAATTCCTGCAGGTCGAATCTTGTAACTCTTTGTAAATACACCTCATCTTCCCATAGAATGTTTCATATCCTTTCAATGTTGAGTTTCCAGTAGGAATTGTAGTGTAAATGTTTCTTAACAGCAGCCTTTGTAATTAGTAGCTGCTGAGCTTGAGATACTTTACAGGGATAGTCTCCTGAGAATTTTGGGAAGAATCTTAGAGACAGCGAAAGCAGATTCGTTAAAAGCTTTCACAATCCTGAGGCTTAAGTGAAAGCAGAGAGAGAAGGTATTACAACCTTTACGACTACGTCATCCAGTGCAGCATGTCAACGTGCCTCATTCCAGTCTGAACTGTGATCGATCTCCTTGCTATTGAATTTCATTATCATTTTCCTCACACTACTGGTTGTAATTACGAAACTCAATAACTCCCTAAATTCCCCCAAGGCTTCTAGTGTGTAATGACCGTAAATTTGGTAAAATGATTTCGCCCATTATGTGCGTTATTATAAAGACATGTTCCAACTCTTCCGAGGAGAAATGACTATGAGATGGATTCTGAGATGGAAGTTTTATCAGTATCGAACGATTTCACTTTTTGAATAATTTAACCATTTGTGTATGTTAATTTTTTTCTTCTTCTGTTTCTTCACTGATTTCACTAAGAAATATTAAAAGCCTTTTAAAAATAAGTTTCTAGAGCTTGTTCAAAATTTTAGACGATTCATTTTTTTATTTAAAAATTTTAATTTTCCCAAAATGTTTTTCTTTCAACAAAATTTTAATTTTGTGCATTTATAATTGTATAAAATGTATAATTGGTAAAATGTGTTTCATATAAAATGTTAGTTGTATAAAAAGTATAATTGGTAAAATGTGTTTCATATAAAATGTTAGTTGTATAAAAAGTATAATTGGTAAAATGTGTTTTATATAAAATGTTAGTTGTATAAAATGTATAATTGGTAAAATGTGTTTTTTTGTATAAAATGTTAAGCAATACCCTTTTTAGTGAATCTTACCCTCTTCATGACGATTTGAATCTATGTAAATTATACAATTTTGCATTATTTTTGTAAACTTTACATAGCTCTATTTTCAATATTTAAAAAAAATACTGCCCATATTTTAACAAAATTTTGAATATTTTGACCCTATATAGAGGCTGCCCGTGCACCAATTTTTTTAAAAATCCGATATGGGAAAATGAAACTTTTACGAAAAGTGTGTTCGTTTGATATACAATGACTTTAGTAGCCATTTCACCGCTATAATGAGTCTTTTTCCCCTTATAGTATAATGTTGACTAATTCATCTTAAATCTCCCTCTGAGTATGAGTTCCCTCCAAACAAATATTTTTTGCTCTTTTCTTCTTCTTGTGGGAAAAAAACATAGCTTCACCTTTCCTTTTATAATCAAGTAGTCACGTTGTGCTATAAAATATTCAATTTGCTTATGGAGTAACATCAAATGTAATTAAAAAAAAAAACTTTTCTTTAAGTTAATACAATTAGAATATGGAGTACTTAAAAATAAAATTTAGAAAAAAGTTGCATAAAAACGAAAGGAAAAAAAAAATTAGAGAAGCATTATAAAAATTTGCTGATTTCATATTCTCATATTCTCTCATTGTCCTTCAAGGACAAAGAATAAAAAATAATTATCCTTTCAAGAATAAAAACAGCCAACGGCCGTACCATGCTGAATATACCGGTTCTCGTTAGATCACCGAAGTCAAGCATCATTGGGCGCGGTCAGTACTTGGGTGGGTGACCACCTGGGAACACCGCGTGCCTTTGGCAAATTTGGGACCTGAATGGTCGAGTGTCTAGCGCTCTGGCGCTCGGTGCCACAGGTTTCGGGTTCGAATCCCGGCGGTGCCATGGATGTTTGTAGTGGTTCGGAATCCACTTTAAGCCGTAGGTCCCGGTCTCCTATGACTGTAAGAGCGTCACGGAGCAAAAGTCAGGCTTCTACCTACGGGTGCTCCATCACAACAGAAGCTGCTTCCTTCCCCTTCAATCATGAGTACATATGGGCTCGTGGGCTTGGCCAGCCAAGTGGGATAAGAAACAACATCAAGAATAAAAACCTAAGATATGTTTTGCTCTCTAATTAAGAGATGTGATTTAATAAAAGTATGGAAATCCTTATTATTTATTTATAATAAGCAATTTATGCAGAATTTGTGAGATTTGATGCATTGAAACTAACTGTCATCAAAACTAACACTTATGTTAATGAAAGTAGAAGGAAAGCTGATTTTTATTTATGGCTTAATCTTTTCGAAAGTGATTTTTTTTTTAAATAAAAATGTTGATTCTTCTTCAGTAAATATTCGTCAGATTTTTAATAATTGCAAATATTATATTATAATATGACAGATAACCATTTTTAAAGACTAATACTGCACGTGGATGCCCACTCATCGAGAATGAATATTAAGCTGGTGTACAAGGGCTTCGGTTCGCTTTTATTAATGAGCCATTCGGCTATAAATTTGACACAGAGTCTCCATCTGTGTACCAAAATTACCGTCATGTAGTTAAGCATCTACAAGAGTGGCGTTACAAAAATGAAATACACAATTTTAAGAACAAATCTCAAAATAAAAATCTGATAGCAGATTGACTTTGTAGTGTGCAGGTTGGCAGTCAAATTGTAACTAGGTGTAGTTGAGACACAAGTTTGAGAATTCACAGCTTTATTTACAAGCGCACAAACACCACATACATACAATTAGAGACATACAATACTTAACAAATTTAATTAAAGATTCGTGGAAGGATTCCACTTCTTCAAGACCCGATACTCAGGTACGCGCAGGATGCATGAAATATAATTCCCCGGGTGAGAGTCTATAGACCAACTAATGCGCTAGGAAGCATTAAATATATTTCCTCTCGGGAGGAGCGACTATAAACTAAACGTTTTTCAGCGGGGGACAGTTTGCGTTGTACTTCCTCTCTGGTGAGAGTCTCGATGCCAACTGACCATTTCTCCTGTGTTTCATAGGGGAGCGCTCTTGCTAGTATGTAACAGGAAGCACGGTTACATGTTTTAATATTTTACAAATTTATTGAAATTAGATTTATTCAATAGAAAAAACAAAAAGATACATCAGTGTATTTAAAACTGTTTTAATAACATTGTTGATTTATTCCTCTAAACTACATTTATATTACACTTATATTTATAGTTCATTTATATTTTATTTTTGTTTTTTCAGATGCCACTCTTTATGCGCGCCATGTCTTCAGAACTTTTGATAGGAACAAAACCGGAGCACTCACATTCCAAGTACTGGTCCTTTTTTTTTTAAATATAAAAGAATAGATTTTATTAGAAATTATTTTATATTGATTTACTGTTTTATGCTTTACGAGAATCAACTTAATTAATAAATATGGATACAAATTTGGGCATCTCTCTGTCTTAAAACAAATCTACTGGTTGATAAAAATTTAGGGAAATCAGAAAACTTGTGATTACTCAACCAAAAGTAGGTAAATTTTCATAAAAATAGCGCAGTAAACTTAAAAAGATAATGTTACATTAAAAAAGTATGATCTGCAAAATAGTGGGACTGAGTTCGTTTAACATTTTTGACTAGGTGGCTGAAATTGTGCTAAGAGAAGTATCTGCAGTTTCTATAAATAGAAATTGTATAATGAAACTTCGAGATACTCGACTTGCTCATACTCGTCTACTCGGCACTCGACTTCATTTATCACTTCATACTTCATTCTATCGACTTCATTTATCAGAAAAATAACGATGGCCAGACATTGGGTTAATGTAAGCAATCCAAAGTCAATCTCATGAAACAAGAGGGTGAATATAAGCCCTTCCGTAATTCATAGATAGCTGAATGCATTTCAGTGAATCATATCAACTTCTAGAAGATACAGTGTAGGAAGACCTAGAATTACAAGCCCCGCAGATAACAGCTATTTGCATTATCTATTGCCATTCTACTTTATATATTTTCTTATAGCTGCCATTGGAAGGCTACATGTTATATTTAATCGGTTATGATAGTGGTTATCAAACTATAACTAACTAACTTACTCTCCGGCACTACAGTTCTTGTTAGACCATGGCCGTCTGAATACTGGCAGATTCCGAAACGGAAGATGTTTTCTTTTTATGGGGTAGGATTGTCAGCCCTACGCTCAACGCTCTACAGTCTTCTCAGGTCGAGACTTACGGTTTAAAGAGGATTCCGAACCACTTACAAACAGCCATGGCCTGTGGCATCGAGAGTCGAAGCGTCTGAAACAATAATGCGCCTGTATTTTCGACAATTAAAAATTAAATCACTTCATTTGAATAAATGAAAAATTAACATAGTTTGGTAGAACTTAAACCACACATACTTACTTTATTATGACATACTAATAACATTAATAATTAATAACTGCATTGGACTGGTAAGGATCTTCCGATTTTAAAATATAAAATTTAAATAAATTTTTGATACTTCTTAAAGTATAGGTCGGAATGTCCTTCCATGGATATGAACCAACAAGGCGCTATCCCTGGGGGTGTATGTTCGAAATTATGGTGGCAAATTGTCGATACTGTATACTGTGTAAATTCACGTTGTGCACTATGGGCAGCGCTGAATCTGTTACACCTCTACCGCTTCGATGGCAATTGAAAGTGGCTGACATTCAAAAACGACTGCATATAATGCTACCATATAATAAAGAAACTTTTAAACTTTTCACAGGGCTTCAGAATAGTTACCTGAAAGCCAGGGATGTAACAAGACTTTTCTTTTATAAATTGTAAAGTTTTGATTATTGAAGGATGTGCTTTCCTTTTCGTGTTATTAGTTAAGATAAATAGATTTTATGGTGATATAAATTTCTGAAAATTATCCTATTTTCGTTAGTATATTTGTAATGTTAGATTAATAATGTATTTTGTAGAATAGTCACTTTAAGAAACTATATTTACAAATTTTTTTTATTTCCCGTAAGAATAGAATTTAAAAATATCTCCTGTATTTTTACATTCATTAAAAACATGTATTTTACTCGAGTTATTAGATTCCTCTCCTATTATTGAGTTATTAAAGTTTTTTAAGTCCCTGTAGATTAATTATCTTACTGGTGTTAAAGAGTCAATTAAATATAGTATTAAAAAATACTTTATTAATTAATGTCTTAAATTATTTAAAGTATAAATAAAAAAAGATGAGTGACGAAAACTGCACACGAGCTAAAAAGGTTGTTTTGACGTAGTTATTGATTATTAATATGATAACCTTTATTTAATTAATCTTGAAAATAGAAAATCTCTTAATTTAATGAGAGTGTCAAAAATAGCATACGCAAACTTAACTTATGAAACTAAATTTCTAGAGAAAATAAATGTTTTACTGTTCATGCTTAATTAATTCTGATTTTAAATATTTATTCTTTGTTGTAAATTAAGAATATTAACAGGCATGCTTAATTATACCTGGCATAAATTTTTAATCTTACAGTAGTTGCATGATGTAGTTAAAAATATAACAAAAGTATAAAGTTCTAATTTATCTTTTGTAAATTATAGATTATTTTATCCTTTTGAAAAACAAACTCCACCCCTTAATTTATAACTCTCTGTTATTATAGAAAACATATGCATATATTAGTATTAGTTTATTTATTAAATAACACTTTAATAAGTAAACAGCCTAATAACAATCATTGAATATAGTATTCAATATGATGCATTTACAATGTACGATATTCAGTAATCTAATTCGGAATATCAGTTGTTGTTTTTTCACATTTCAAAAATGTTTTTAAAGAAACTGCAATTCATTTGTTTTAAGCTTTAGCAAGATGCATTGTCCAAGTTTTGTTTGTTTATATTTCACTCTCATGCATAAATTTATCTTTTTCGATGTCTCTTGACAAAGAAAATACCAAATATGTCTTCTTTTTATTTATATCAGAATAATAATGGTAATAAACTCTCAATCTTATGATATTTGTACCTAGAATTGTACTTGAAAGCATGTATTCAGTCAATACGGAAGAGTAAAAGCGCTGTTGAATACTTATTTTTTAACTTCCTTATTACATTATCATATGCAATAATAAATAAAATGTTTAAAATATCTGAAAATGAGTTCGACTTCAATAAATGAAATGACTATCGCCTCTTACATTTTTACCCATAAAATATAAGGATTATTATTTTGAAGACAGTGGGTCAACGATGTCTTGGACCATTTTCAGCATTTTTCCGTTATTTTTTTAAAATTTCTTTCACAATCTATTCTTATTGGTTTATTTCCATTTCCTTCACGTGTTTTTTTATATAAATTCGTTTGGGATTCTATAGTTTTTAGTTTTTATTTCATCTTTTTTTCTTCTTTCAATTTTGAACGATAACATAACATAAGCTTAATTTATTGCTTGAATATGCTCTGTTGTTACTTTTTCACTATTTGTTTAAGACTACTATTTTGCGTTTTGTTCTTACATTAAATTCTAAATTTTATGGGTAATTTGTATATCGGCTCATCCAATTACAATTTTTTATGTATATATATCCGCGAGGCTCGTATTCCTCTTATGTATGGCATGGAAATGTAGGAAAGATAATAGTCTCCCCGGAGAATTTTAAGTGGCAACTGTTTACGTGTCTTATGAGATAAAATTTAGAAAACTCATCAGGAAACCCGTAGATGCGAGATGCTTATACACGTTGTCTAAATCCCCTTAAGGTTTCTTATTTCATGATTTGGTTTGTCGCTCTACGGTCATCTTATGCACTCTTTTGGGCTAAAC